GTGCGGGCGGCTGCGCTGGGGTCTCCTTCGGGCCCCTTGAGGGTCTCCTTGGGGCCCCTTGGGGGCCTCATGGGGGTCTCCTTGGGGGTCTCCTTGGGGCCTCTTGGAAACAATAGTTTGGGTTTCTTGGGGGTCTCCTTGAGGCCTCTTGGGGGCCTCTTGGTGGCATCTTGGGGCCTCTGGGGACCTTCTTGGGGCCTCCTGGGGCCCTCTCAAGGCGGAAAGTTAGTTTTTTTCGGTTTGTTGACTCCCTCGTGGACCTCTCTTGGGATCGTCTCAGGGCCCTTTTGGGCCGTCTGGGGCGCCTCTTGGACCGTCTTTGGGCCCTCTTCGGCCGTCTTGGGGCCGTCTTGGCGACCTCTTGGGCCGTCATGGGGGCTTCTAGGGCCGTCGTGGGTCGATCTTGGGAACCTCTGTCCCTCTCGGAGCGTCGGAAAGTCGAAAAGGCGAGAAGGCCCAAAACCTTCAAAAACGTTAGGACCATCGTTGATTGTTGCTTCGTGGGGCCCTCCTGGGAGGGCTCTTGGTGGCCTGGTGGGCCGTCTTGGGAGCATCTCGGGCCGTCTTGGGGCCATCGTGGGACATTTTGGGTCCTTCTTGGGCCGTCTTGGCCTCCTGCGGCTCTCTTCGGAGCTGGAACCTCGTCGAGAAATCTTGGAGGCCTCTCGGGCCGTTCTGGCCGCGCGGTGGCGTCTCCATGAGAATATCCTGGGGTGGCGCGGAGCAGCCTGGATTTGACGTTCACACGCCCTGGTTGGCTGTTTGGTGGCGCGGCGGGGCCCCTTTATCAGACAGTAAACAGGAGGCAGAACTGGATAGATAGAATGCCAAGCAACAAATGACAACATGTAACACATGACAGCAGACCGCACACACCTTCGCAGCCTTGCGCCCCCGGAGGGGGCCGGCGGATTAATAATAACAGTGCTTAGATGAGTAAGACGACGAATGCGAATATTAAGAGTAGTACAACGACAGAACGAACACTAACGACAACAATACTGCTATCAACACTAATGATAACATCACTATCAGTAATGACACCAAATTACGAACACTAGCAATGCAGCTACTACTATTACTACTACGACTAAAACTATTCTCAATAATGGGAATACGCATGACACAGGTAGTCTTTACAAAATTGATGATAATATGAGTCAATACGATTATGCCAATCACAATCCACAGACGAATTTCAATATTACTAATAACTCTACGTTGAATCCATACTAGTGCTCGTGTTATTAATACGACTCATACTACTACTACTACTTCTACTTGTACTACTACTACTACTACTACTACTACTACTACTACTACTACGACTACTGCTACTACTACTACTACTATTATTATTACTACTACTACTACTAAAACTGATAAGCGTACTAATACTGTTAGTATTGTAGCTCATGAAATTACTATTAATCATACCAGCAGTAATCGTAAGCTGTGTGGCAGTATCAACAAGAAAAAAAGACAACTAGTACGAAGAGGATGATGATGATGATGCTGATGATGCTGATGATGATGATGATGATGATGATGATGATGATGCTGCTGCTGCTGCTGATGATGATGATGATGATGATGATGATGCTGATGATGATGATGATGATGATGATGATGATGATGATGATGATGATGATGATGATGATGATGATGATGATGATGATGAGCAGGAGGAGGAGGAGGAGGAGCAGGATGGCGCAGAGTCCCGTTTTGTCGTTTTTTCGTCGTCCTCCTCGCCCTCACTCCCCTCAGGGGACGCAGGAGCACACGGCTACTCCGCGCCCCTGGGAGGTTCTCCTCGCCATCGTGGTTCCCCTTGCCGCTCGTTTTCCCTACAGCCACCGTTGTTGTGTGTGTGTGTACTTCCCGCAGCAGAGTGGTGGGATGGCGAGGACCGGGCTAGTGGAGTTTGGGAAGGGTGGTCTCTGACGACTATCGACGCTGGAACCACTGCTGAGCCCTGGCGCAGCGTGCAGAAGCAGCAAGGGGGGATGGCAGGAGGACGGGGGAGGAGGCGGGAGGAGGGAGGAGGAGGAGGAGGGAGGCGAGCGCTAGCGCAGGAGGAGGGCGGGAGGAGGAGGAGGAGGGAAAGGCGGAGGCGGAGGCCGGAGGAGGAGGAGGAGAGGCGGAGGAGTGGAGAGAGGAAGGGCAGTGGGGGATGTGTCGCGACGTGGAGGCAGCTGCGCTCGCGCTCGGAGGAGGAGGAGGGGAGGGGGACGGGGGAGGGGGCGGTGGACCACGCGCGCGCGCAGGGGGGGGGAGGTGGGGGGCGGGGCGGAGGTGAGGAGGCGGAGGGGAGGAGGAGGAGGAGGAGGAGGAGGAGGAGCAGGAGGGGGAGGAGGAGGCGGAGGAGGCGGGAGGAGGAGGCGGAGGAGGAGGAGGAGGAGGAGGAGGAGGAGGCGGAGGAGGAGGAGGCATGAGCCCTGGCGCAGCGTGCAGAAGCAGCGAGGGGAGGCGGGGGGGGGGCGGCGGCCCCGCCGGCGAGGGCGCTCGAGCCTGGCGCGGCTCCTGGAGGCGAGGCGGGGCACGGCCCAGGGGGAGGCGGAGTGCCTCGAGGCCTGGGGGCGGGGCCCGTCTTGGGGGGGAGTGAGGGCAGCTGGAGGGGGATTTTCGACGGTTGCTGGTTATTTTTTAGTTGTTTTTGGGGTCTCCCATGTTTTCTGACTCCGGCTAGGCTTTGCGTGGCCGGATTCTTCCACACCTTTAACTACTTTCTCGGCCTCTGGCCGAGGGCGTCAAGGCATCATGAAGCCTGTCAGCCACATCATCCTCTTCTTGCGAATGTTCGCGGAGGTTTTCTCTCTCGGGGATGCTTTTCAGTAGCTGCGCCTCGTCGAGAGCGTGCCGAGGGTGCCCGAATCGTCCCGAATGGCCGCCAGAGGCCCGAGGTATGTTCAGAAAATTGCCATGCTGCTGCTGCTGAGGAGGAGGAGGGGGAGGAGGAGGAGGAGAATGTGGATGTGGATGTGGATGTGGATGTGGATGTTGATGATGATGATGATGCTGATGATGATGATAATGATGATGATGATGATGATGCTGATTCTGATGTTGATGATAATGGTGCAGATGATGATTATGTCGGTGGTGGTGATGATGATGAAGAAGACGATGCTGATGCTGATGACACTGATGATGTTGACGCCGATGATGATGATTATGATGGTGATGGTGATGGTGGTGATGCTTCTGATGATGATTATGATGCTGACAAGGACGATGATGATTATGATGATGGTGATGATGATGCTGCTGGTGATGATGATGCTGATGCTGATTATGATGATGATGATGACGCTAGTGGTACTGATGATGATGATACTGATGATGATGATGCTGATTTTGGTGATGCTGATGCTGATGCTGATGATGATGCAAATGCTGATGATGAGGACGATGCTGATGATGCTGATGACTCCGGTGATGATGATGATGATGGTGATGGTGATGGTGATGATGCTGATGCTGATCATGATGCTGATGCTGGTGCTGCTGATGATGATGACGATGCTGATGATGCTGTTGATGATGCTGATGATGAGGATGCTGATGCTGCTGCTGATGGGGATGATGCTGACGACGAAAACGAGGATGATGATGACGATGATGTTGATGATGCTGATGATGGAATGATGCTGATGCTAATCATGGTGATTATTATTATGTTGATGATTATGATGATACTGATGATCAGGATTATGATGATGCTGATGGTGACGATTATGATGATGATGATCATGATGGTGAAGCTGGTGATGATTATGATGATGCGGATGATGCTGACGACGATGATGATTATGATGATGATGGTGATGCTGCTGATGATGATGATGATGCCGCTGATCGTACTGAGATGATGATGCTGATGATAATGATGATGAAAAGGAGGAGGAGGAGGAGGAAGGAGGAGGAGGAGGAGGAACAGCATATCAGGAGGAGCAGGATGAGGCTCAGGAGGAGGAGGAGGAAGATGAGGAGCAGGAGGATGATGAGGATGCTGTTGTTGGTGATGATGATGATGCTGATGACGATGATGATGGTGCTGATGATGATGCTGCTGATGCTGATGACGCTAATGATGCTAATGATGCTGATGATGCTGCTGATGATGATGAAGCTGCTGATGATGATGCAGGTGGCGATGCTGATGCTGATGCTGCTGATGATGCTGATGCTGATGATGCGGACGATGTTGATGATCATGATGATGCTGATGACGCTTGTGATAATGCTGATGACGATGATGCTGATGCGGCTGATGATGATGCTGGTGGTGATGATGATGAAGATCTTGATGATGATGTTGACCATGATGAGGATGCTGATGCTGATGATGCTGATGGTGGTGATTATGATGACGATGATGATGACGATGCTGTTGATGCTGATGATGATGAGGATGATTATGATTGAGCAGCTGACGATAGCGATGACGATGATGATGCTGGTAATCATGATGATGATGCAGATGATGATGATAATGATGATGCTGATGATGGTGATGATGGTGCGGCTGATGCTGATGACGCTGCTGCTTATGATGATGACGATGCTGATGCTGCTGATGATGATGATGATGCTGATAATGGCTATGATGATGCTGATCAGGATGATAATGATGATTGTGATGGTGATGGTTGTGGTGGTGATGATGATGATGTTGACGATGTTGATAATGCTGTTGATGCTGCTGCTGGCGATGATGATGCTGATGCTGATGATGCTGTTGTTGATGATGATGATGCTGCTGACGATGCTGCTGATGACGATGATGCTGGTGATGGTGAGGCTGATGATGCTGACGAAACTGATGATGATGCTGATGATGATGCTGATGCGGCTGATGCTGATTATGATGCTGATGCTGATTATGATGCCCATGATGATGCTTATACTGATGATGATAATGGTGCTGTTGATGATGATGCTGATGATGATGGTGATGATGATGATGATGGTGGTGTTCATGATGATGCTGATGATGATGCTGATGCTGATGATGCTGATGATGCTGATGATGATGATGCTGATGCTGATGCAGATGATGATGATGATGTTCATGACGATGATGATGCTGATGATGATACTGATGATGATAATGATGATGATGCTGATGATGATGCTGATGATGCCGACGATGACGCTGATGCTGATGATGATTTTATGATGATGATGCTGATGATGATGATACTGATGATGCTGATGATGATGATGCTGATGGTGATGCTGATGATGCTGCTGATGATGATGATGCTGCTGCTGATGCTGATGATGCTGATGAGGATGCTGCTGCTGCTGCTGCTGCTGCTGATGATGATGATGATGATGATGCGGATGATGAGGAGGAGGATGAGGAGGAGGGCGAGGAGGATGAAGAGAAGGCGAAGAAGGCGGAGGAGGCGACTGCTGATGATGTTGAAAAGGGTGATGATGAGGGGGAGGCGAAGGAGGAGGATGAGGAGGATGAGGAGGAGGAGGCGAGAGGAGGAGGAGGAGGAGGAGGAGGACGAGCACGAGGACGATGATGATGATGATGATGATGATGATGATGATGATGATGATGATGATGATGATGATGATGATGATGATGATGATGCTGATGCTGATGCTGGTGGTGATGATGATGATGCTGATGATGATGATGATGATGATGATGATGATGATGATGATGATGATGAGGAGGAGGAGGAGGATGAGGAGGAGGAACAGCGGCGGAGGAGGAGGAGGCGGAGGAGGAGGAGGAGGCGGAGAAGGTTGAGGAGGATGAGGAGGAGGCGGGGGATGAAAAGGAGGATGAGAAGGACGATGAGGAGGAGGGGGACGTGGAGGAGGAGGAGGCGGAGCAGGAGGAGTAGGATGCGGAGGTTGAGGAGGAGGAGGAGGAGGAGGAGGCGGATGAGGAGGATGAGAATGAGGAGGAGGATGAGGATGAGGAGCAGGAGGCGCTGTCGTCGTCGTCGGAGGAGGGGGATGGTGAGGAGGAGGAAGAGAAGGACGATGAGGAGGAGGAGGAGAAGGCGGAGTAGAAGGCGGAGGAGGATGTGGAGGAGGAGGAGGATGAAGAGGACGAGGATGAGAAGGAGGGGATGGGGTTGAGGTGGAGGAGGAGGAGGAGGAAGAGGAACATGAGGCGGATGTGGAGGAGGAAGAGAAGGAGAAGAAGGCGGAGGAGCGGAGGAGGAGGATGGGAGGAAAGGAGGCGGAGGAGGATGAGGATGCGGAGGTTGAGGAGGATGAGGAGGAGGAACAGGAGGAGGAGGAGGAAGAGGAGGAGGAGGAGGAGGAGAAGGAGGAGGAGGAAGAGGACATGATGCAGTGAGGAGGAGTTGAGGAGAAGCATGAGGAGGAGGAGGAGGAGGAGGAGGAGGAGGAGGAGGAGGAGGAGGAGGAGGAGGAGGTGCAGGGGCGGAGTAGGATGAGGAGGACGCGGAGGAGGGGGAGGAGGGCGGAGGAGGAGGAGGAGGAGGCGGATGAGGAGAGGAGGAGGAGGAGGAGGAGGAGGAGGAGGAGGAGGAGGAGGAGGAGGAGGAGGAGGAGGAGGAGGGGAGGAGGAGGAGGAGGAGGAGGAGGAGGAGGAGGAGGAGGAGGAGGGGAGGAGGAGGAGGAGGAGGAGGAGGAGAGGAGGAGGAGGGAGGAGGAGGAGGAGGAGGAGGAGGAGGAGGAGGCGGATGAGGAGGACGAGTGGGAGGAGGCGGATGAGGAGGAGGAGGAATATGAGGAGGCGGAGGAATAAGAGGAGGATGATGATGAGAATGATGATGAGGAGGATGATGGTGATGCTGATGATGATGATCATGCTGCTGATGATGATGCCGATGATGATGATAACGATTATGAACATGATGATGAGGCATATGAGTCGGGTACGTAAGCAGGGTGGGGGTACTCGTGAGGAGGAGAGGGGGACGAAACGGATGATGATACTGTTGATGCTGATGATGATGCTGTTGCTGATGCTGATAATGATGCTGATGATGATGTTGATGCTGGTAACTCTTATGATGATGCTGTTACTGCTGCTGAGGTTGATTATGTTGCCGACGATGATGAAGATGCTGCTGGCGATGATGCTGCTGCTGATGCTGATGCCGATGATGATGATGCTGGTGCTGATACTGTTGACGATGACGATGATGATGATGATGATGATGATGATGATGATGCTGATGCTGATGTCGATGCTGATGATGCTGCTGCTGATGATGATGCTGCTGCGGCTGCTGATGCTGACGACGACGACGGTGCTGATGCTGCTGATGCTCATGTTGATGCTGCTAATGATGATGCTGATGCTGATGATGCTGTCGCTGATGATGTTGATGATGCTGTTGATCTTGATGATGATTCTGCTGATGATGATTATGGAGCTGATGCTGATGATGATGATGATGCTGATGACGATGATGACGAGTATGATTCTTATGATGGTGATCATGATGCTGAGGATGCTGATGATGATGCTGATGACGACGATGACGATGATGATGCTGTTGCTGATGATCATGATGCTTCTGACATGACGGTGCTGATGATGACGCTGTTGATGACGATGCTGATGACAACGATGATGATGCTGATGCTGCTAATGCTGCTGATGATGCTGCTGCTGATGAGCATGATGTTTCTGATGGTGATGCTGCTGCTGATGTTGATGTTGCTGATGATGTTGATGATCGTGATGACGGTGCTGCTGCTGCTGATGCTGATGATGATGATGATGAGGTTGATGATTTTTTGCTGATGGTGATTGTGATGATGCTGCTGATGCTTACGATGATGATGATGATGATGATGATGATGATGATGATGATGCTGATGCTGATACTGATACTGATGCTGATGAGGCTGATGATGCTGCTGATGATGCTGATGCTGATGATGCTGCTGCTGCTGATGATGATGATGATGATGATGATGCTGATGCTGATGCTGATGCTGATGATGATGATGATGATGATGCTGATGATGATGATGATGATGATGATGATGATGATGATGATGATGATGATGCTGATGCTGCTGCTGATGATGATGAGGAGGAGGAGATTGCGGAGGAGGAGGACGATGAGGGTAAGCAGGTTAAGGGTAAGCAGCAGGATGATGAGGAGGAGGAGGACGAGGAACAGGAAAGTGAGGATGAGAATGGGGGGGATGAGGATGCAGATGGGGATGGGGAAGAGGAGGAGGAGGACAATGAGGAGGAGGAAGAGGAGGAGGAGGAGGAGGAGGTGGAGGAGTGAGAGGAGGAGGAGGAGGAGGAGGAGGAGGAGGAGGAGGAGGAGGAGGAGGAGGAGGAGGAGCGAAACATTTTCCCCCAAAAAGAAGAAGATTCTGTGACTCGATTTTGAAATCTTTATGACGCCCATGGTTTTTGAAGAATGTCGGCAAGCGCGCGCGACGGCGCGCGCGTATGCACTTCGTACAGTTTTTTACAAGGGGTTCTTGAAACATTATGATTTGCGATGGACGAATGTGCGCGCATAGTATTGTTTGCAGGGGATGAAGGGGGGGGTGCGATACCGGTCTGGCTAGGATGATATGAAATCATATCTAGGATGGACGAGGCGGCGACGGGGCGGCGACGGTGGCAACGTATCCGCCACACATGCAGATAGGCCCAGACGACGGGCGATGACGAGGCGGCGACGGGGCGGCGACGGCGGCAACATAGCCGCCAGAGCGGCAGACAGGTCCAGTTCCGTGGAGCAGAAGTAAGAACCCCAAAGTGCAAACACTGTTTGGATAACAAGATTCGTGCCGCGGCCAGGCACGAAAATTAGCTGTCGCTGCGCGACCCCCATTCACTACCTCGGCAGCATTACACCTGTGGCACGGGACTCGATCCCACTGCCGAGAGGATATTCATCGACAAACTATTTCTATGAAGCATGGGATGACGCGGTGCAGATAGTGCCCGCCAGTGGCGGTGAAGATCCCGTGCAGGCCGAAGCCAGACAGAGCGGCGCCGAAATGTTGGACATCTTCGCCTGTTGGTCCGCATTTTCGGCGTTGTGCGTCTGGCATCTGCGATCTCATCGTTAGCCGCAGCCGCAGACTGCCCGCCGGCATCGCAGCCTGGCCACCGCACCGTGCCGAGCACTTCGTCTGAGGGTGCTGAGATCAGGCCAAGACCGAAGGGGCAATGTCCAGCGTCCATCTCGGCACGGACGGGACAGGGTTATTGCACAAGGTCCTCGAATGGCTGATGTTTCTCCCGACGAGACGCCCCATCCGCCAGGTAAAGGAGAAGGCAAAGGCGGCCTGGCATGCACTGCTTCAGAGTGGGAGCAGCACAGACAGACCATGAGGGACACCCCCCTGGGAACATCGCACCAACAGTGAAACGCACGCCGCTAAGTGGAATGCAGAAGAGAGGTACCGCATCGAGATTATCAGCCATGGAAGGAGCAGAGATACTCGACCAATGTTGGTTTACCCGCCGTGCGTACCCAGAGAAGTTGAAGCAGCTCCCCCGATTTGGGATGCTGCAGCGCTAATTTGCGTCCATGTCGTACTGGACTACGACCTGTGGAAAGAAGCACTGGGACACTGCCGCGTACGTGACGTATCCTTTGCTGCGTGGCTCGAGAAGGATTGGGACAAATGCAAGGCTTTACACGCGCCTGCGCCCGCTACCCACGTCGACTACGTCTTCAGACCTCTGAATGCTTACCGCAAGTAGTGAGACATCGCGCTCCAGTGTTCGGAAGACAGTGATTGGGCCCAACTCAAGAACTGCATTCTTCTGAGCGGCGAAGCCCATGCCAACATTATGGTCTGCATCGACTGGGCCAACGAGTTAGCACTTTACTTCTGTCTCCGTGTGATTTCTGTCAAGCCAGGTCAGTCATTGCCATGGGACGTGCGCCTGGGAGCTGATTTGAGGACCGACTTGTCACACCTGTGGGGGATTACCACCAAGGTTTCACGAAACGAGTGTCGCATGTTGTAGCAGGGTGTCGTGCAGAACCTTTCACTGGACGTGCGCCGAGGCTGCGTCCGTGTCGTTGCAGCACCGTGCCAGATGGCTCCAAAAATCTAGTGCCGTCGGCGTCCTGTTTGCTCCTCTCCTCAATCCTTTTGCGCTGCGGCCGTTTGGTCCCAGGACTGCTGTGGTGAAAACAACGGGTCCATCCAGTCTACGGAAAACAATAAACACATTATCTTTCTGCCTACAGAAGGACCAACTCAATCCTCCACCAATTGATGAGGATATGTTAGTTGTTCCGAAGGGCCGACCAAACGCCAATCAGGGGTGAGGATGAGGCGGGAGAGGATGATTAATCAGCCGGGTATCAGGATGGTCTGCGTATGATTTCGAATGAAGAGGCTTTGGGGGTTCCATATGGTCGCATGGGGTTTTCGGGGATACGTGCTGGGGAGGTGGGTGACGCGGGGGAGGTCCTTGGAGCTTTTCTTGTAGGGTCTATGCTTTTTGGAGGTTTTGGTTGTTGTCGGATCGTACCACCTCCCTTCTCCTGCTCCTTTTACGCTTCAAACTGGTGCTTTTCGTCTCATCCTCTTCACTACTGCCAGCTCCTTCTCCATCGACTGGCAGCTCCTTGCTCCCTGGTCCCTGCTCCTCCTTCCCTCGTTCCCCTCTCCTTTCTCCTTTTCTTCTTGATCGTATCAGTTTCTTAGTTGTTATGCCCAAGCGCCTTCCGCGTACTATCAGTTTGGTTATTGTTCTTTTTGTTTCTCCTCCTCCGCCTCCTCCGCCTCCTCCTCCTCCTCATCCTCCTCCTCAGCATCCTCATCCTCATCCTCATCCTCATCCTCATCCTCATCCCCATCCTCATCCTCATCGCCTCCTCCTTTTTGTTCTCCCCTCTCCCTCTGCCGTGCCTCCTACCTCTCCTTTGCCCTGCCGCACCTTCTCCCGCCTGTGCCCTCTCACTCCTGCCCTGCCGCCTCCCCCCCCCGTCCATGGCCCGCTTCCTCCTTCTCCTCCTCCCTCGTGCCCCCCCTTGGCCCTCCTCCCTCGTGTCCTCCCTGGCCCGCTCCTCCTCCTCCCTCGTGCCCCCGTCCCTGGCCCGCTTCCTCCTCCTCCTCCTCCTCTTCCTCCTCCCTCCTCCTCCTCCTCCTCCTCCTCCTCCTCCTCCCTCCTCCTCCTGGTGATGCTAGAGGTGCCCCCGGTCCAAGGTGTCCCCAGGGTTTAAAAGCAGGCCCCCACGGCCTCCAGAGCGCCCCTCACGAGGCCCCAGAATGGAGCGAGATGCAAGGGGCCAGGTGCACCTGTACCAACCCCCGCTTTTTCTGCCCTCCCCCTTCCCCCCTTTATCTTCCCCGCCCCCGAGGAGGATGAGGAGGATGTGGAGGAGGAGGAGGAGGAGGAGGAGGAGGAGGAGGAGGAGGAGGAGAACCCCTTCGCCCCCCCCCTCTCCCCTCTTTTACAATTGCACAATCTGAATTCTACTCTCCTCTCTCCCCTGGCGCTGCGTCCGGGAAATTTCGGCCCTCCTCCGCGTACGTTTTTTTTTTCACCGGATTTCCTGGAGTTGGGTTTCCGCTTGGTTTTTCAAAATGCTGCTCTCGCTGAAGCGCTGGCCTCATTTTCGGGCCACCGCTCATTCCGAATCGTGCTGCCGTCGCAGCGTTGGCCTCATTTCCGCGCTTCGCTCATCCCGAATCGTGCTCCCACTGCAGCGCTGGCGTCATTATTTCCAGGGCCATGCTACGGCATGGTTTTCGGTCCTTCCAAGTAGGCCCCAAAATCTAGAAAATGGCCTCCCGAAAAAACCATCGGAAGTGATTCTACATTCGGTGTCGATTCGTTGATTTTTTAGACCCCAGAAGCCCCCCCCCACTTTGGGGCGTCGCCACGCCATGCTATGTCATGTTACGCATTGATCTTCAACACCATGCTATGCCATGTATTGCTAGCCATGTTGCGACATCCGATTGTGCGAATGGAAAGGAGATCCACGACATGGTAAGGGATGGGAGGGTGGGGTAGGACGTCAGACTGACGCGAGCGCACATAGCTTGTCCCCGCCCCCACCCAGCCCCCCCCCCCCCCCCCGCCCCCCCCCCTTGGCCCCGAGCTCTGCGCGCCAGTGCCCGCCAGGCCTTCCTCGCCGACAGCGTAGACTCGATCCTCAGGCCAGGGGCCTGCGACCCAGCGCATGCCGAGGAGGAGGAGGAGGAGGAGAAGGAGGAGGAAGATGATGATGATGATGATGATGATGATGATGATGATGATGATGATGATGATGATGATGATGATGATGATGATGATGATGATGACGATGATGATGACGATGATGATGATGATGATGATGATGATGATGATGATGATGATGATGATGATGATGATGATGCTGCTGATGATGATGATAACAAAAAGGAGGAGGCGGAGGGAGGAGGAGGAGGAGGAGGAGGAGGAGCAGGAGCAGGAGCAGGTGCAGGAGCCCTGTGTCCGCCTCCCCCTCCTTCTCGCTTCGTTCGTCTCTTCCTCTTCTCTTTTCGGCCCTAACCTGCTTCGGCTACCCCGCCTCTAGCCCGACCGGCGCCCGACCACCTCTTGCACCCTTGCGCGCCCGCTGACCTAAAAAGTGCCCGCCTCGCACCTTCAAGCTCCATCAATCTGCAGAACGTTTGCCTCCAAATTAAACGCGACGCTCACGGCAAACACATGAACATTCATGGTCAGGCGGAGGCTTTTGCTCACGACGCCGCCTTCTCCTCCTCCTCCTCCTTCTCCTCCTCCATTCCTTTTCCTTCATGAATAACTCCTCCCCGTCGCATCCCGAGGCCGGTCGAATAGACGGCCTGGCGTTTCGCTTGAGATGTCCTGACCATTTGTGATCTTGAAGCTTTAAAGCTGGCAGCAGTTTCACGTGCGGAGGGCGGGTCGCTTGTAATCTGTGGCTCTCGCCTTAGCGCCTCGCACATGGAGGGCGGGTCGCTTCCAAAATGTGGCTCTGGTATTCGCGCCGCGCACACTCGTCGTAAACATTCAAGAGTTTCACGAATCGAGGGCGGTTCATTTTGATCATGTGGCTCTCCCTGTAGCGCCGCGCACAGTCGGCTTAAACATTTGCAAGTGTTCGTGCTCCCATGGTTAACGCACCAGACATGTTGTTTGGGAGCGACTAAGGCGCAACAGGTTGGTTGGTTTGCGGTGTTGAAATCCCAGGAATGGTGTTCTGGCACGATTCAGGATTGTCAAGATCCAACCGTTAAGTTTATTCGCGGCGTTGACATCCCGAGAACGGTATTTCGGCACGCTTCAGGATTTCCAAACGGTTGTCTCCAAACGGGGCACTTCCCCCAGTGCGAATGAATCTTTGTAGGGGCCCGTGACGTGGGAGCTTGGAGGGAGGATGTATTCCAACATCGTTGAAGAGTCTTGGGTTTACACTCCTCCTCCTCCTCCTCCTGTTCCGCCGCCTCCACCAGTTGGACCTCTTCTGCCTCCTGTTCCTTTTTCTCGTCCTTCCTTCTGCTTCACTCCTCTTCCTTAACGATAACTCCTCCCTGTCTTACCCCGAGGGGGGTCGAAAATGCGGACTTGGCGTTCTGCCTTAAGCCCTTTACACTTTATGATCCTGAAGCGTAGAAATTAGCAGCAGTTTCCCTGATGGAGGGCGGATGGTTTTCAAAATGTAGCTCTCGCCTTAGCGCCGCAAATGAAAGCGATTCACGGGTTGAGGGCGGGCCGTTTTCATAATGTGGCTCTCGCCTTAGCGCCGCGCGCATTCGTTTCCAGAATTTACAAGAGTTTCACGGATTGGGGGAGAGTGGAGTTCAACATGTGGCTCTCGCTTCACCACCGCGCACATTCGCTTAAAACATTTGCCAGAGCTTCACGGATCGAGGGCGTTTGGTTTCCAGAATGTGGTTCTCGTCTTCGCGCCGTGCACACCCGTCTTGAGAAGTTGAACGGATTTCGTGTATTGAGGGCGTTTTTATTTTTTCTTAAACATGTGGCTCTCCCTGTAGCTCCGCGCACACTTGCCCACTAAAAGTTGCAAGAGTTTCACGGATTCCCATGGCTAGCGTACAAGAAGTGCTGCTGCGGAGCGATTCAGGGTTGTCGGGGCGCACAGTTGCGTTGATTCGCGATGTTGGTGTCCCAGGAAAGATGTTCTGGCACGAATCAGGGTCGTCAGGTTGCAGTAGTCAGGTTTATTCGTGGCGTTGAAGTTCCGAGAACGGTGTTTCGGCACACTTCAGGATCTCCAAACGGTTGTCTCCAAACGGTTGTCTCCAAACGGTTGTCTCCAAACGGTTGTCTCCAGTGAAAATGAATATTTGTAGGGCCTATGACGATGGAGCTTGGCTGGAGGGTTTATTCCAACATCGTTGATGAGTCTTGGGTTTGCACTGGTCCTCGTCCTTCTCCTCCTCCTCTTGCTCCTCCTCCTCCTCCTCTCTTCGTCAGCTGCTACTTCTGCTCCTGCTTCCCTTCTACCTCTCACCCCCCGGGCTCCTGCTCCTCCTCCCGCCCCCCCCATCCCCTTACCCCGCTACAGCTACTGCTGCTTCAGCTTTTCCTGCTGCTCCTGTTCCTCCACTCCCTCCTCCTTCTCCTCTATAACTCTCTCCGCCGTCTCCTCCCTTGTCTTTTCTCTCTCCTCCTCCCTCTCCCCCTTCTCCTTCCCCCCTCCCCCTCCCCCTCCTGTGGCGATTTGTCTTCAAGGAAAAGGGATGGAGGCAGCAGAATCCTTCTCTTCATAATGCTGCTCCTGCTGCTGCTACTGCTGCTCCTCCTCCTCCTCCTCTTCATGATGCCTGTGCCTGCCACCTGTGACCTCCCAGCCTCTTCGTGCGCGTGCAGTGGCGCAAGCGCATGTTTGGAGCGCCGCCCGCTTCTGCACTCGAGGGAGGCTCATCGTTTGGGCGTGGCCCAATCCACCACAGCCTCCACTTCCTCCTCCTCCCTCTCCTCCTCCTCCTCCTCCTCCTCCGCCTCCTCCTCCTCCTCCTCCTCCTCCTCCTCATGTTGACTTCTGCGGCGTGCTCGCTGTGCGGAAGGTCAGGAGAGTTGTCCACAACTGCGGCCTCGTACGCTACGGCAGGCTCGTGTCGTGTCGTCGTGTCGGCGATCCCAGCTGGGGCGTTCAAGGCGGAGCGTCGGCAGTGGCCCGGAATCGTCATATATCGAACGATCTGCGCTATCGGGAGGCTGCGAGCGCTGAAGGCGGAACGATCAACGCGGTGCCAGAAACCACCGCCGAAGTCGTCACGCTATCGCTGCTCTTCCTGCTCCCCCTCCTCATGCTGCTGCCACTGCTTCTTCTGCTGCTGCTGCGTACTCGTTATGCGGAAACTCCGAAGAGTTGGCCACATATAAGGTGCTTGTTTTGTAGACCTTCCTGGGTCCCACCTGACGGATCTGCCCGACTGTGGCTCGACTCAAGTTCGACTCAAGTCGACGGACGTTCGACGCAGCGTCGACGCACGAGTGGAGCGAGCGGCTCCTGGAAGGCCACCTGGACGAGTAGTCAAAGCAGCTGCGGCCTCGAACACTGGCCCGAGGCCGACGAGCGTCGCGAAGCCTCCACTTCCTCCTCCTCCCTCTCCTCCTCCTCGTCCATTTTGGCTCAAGCTGTTCGTGCGCAAGCTTGCACCGACCAGTTGAGTCTGGCAACGAACCCGCCCGATGGGGGAAAACCAAGAGGGGATGGACGTCGATGGCCGGGGCGTCAAGCGAGGCGCCGCGGGGGCCCCTAGCAAGGAGGTGTCGAATGGAGATATATTCGAGTTGCTCCAAACCTTCCAGAGGGAGTACCGGACCGACAGGGAGCAGTTCAACGGGGAGATTGCTAAGGTAAACGCCAGCGTCGAACAAGTTGATCAGAAAGCTGATCGCGCTCTTCGGGAGGCTTCTGAGGCCAATGAGGCCGTCAAGCAATTTCTCGCCCAGCAGAAGCAACAAGCAAGCTCGGCAGCATCGGCATCATCGAAAAATACAGGAGCGACCGGTACCACTGGAATTCCGCAGGGACGTTCGACCAGCATCGATTTGAGGAAGTTGGTGATCGGCGGATTTCCTGCATATAGTGAGCAAGATGAAATGCAAGCAGCAGCAGATTCCATCCTAAGCAACCACACGGACAATATCTTGTAGCGCTATTACGCTTCTCCGGGCAATCATTGCACGATCATTTGGAAAACAGAAGATCATATGTGGAATTGGATTGGGGAGTGGCGTAAACGAGTGAAAGAGGAGGATGCAGGAGATGGGAAGGCGTCTGTTCAGATTGGTCCTACCACGTATCGGCTTTGGGCAAAGAGGCATGAGGATAAGGAGCAGCGGGATCGCAAGTCCAGGCTCGCCAGGCTGAAGGAGGCCTTCTGCACCCTGGACAGCACGTCGCCCTTCCGCATGGTCAATAGCCAGGACGCCATAGTTGCGTATAAGCTGCCTGTCGCGGGCTTCGACGACAAGGGCGAGCTGAAGATCAAGCCCGAGAATTTCACCTCCGCGATGAAGACCAGCGGAGTTACGGAGGACATGGTGAAGAACGCCTATGAGAACGCTGTCCAGCAGAAGCAGCGTTCGTTTCGGCCCTTCTGATCGACGGAGAGACGCTGACTGGATTCGACCGCCAGCCAGTCAGCAGCGCACAATTCCGACGCAGAATTGTGCAGGCGGATCGGGGCCGGCACTTCGGGGACCAGTACCACGAGGTCAACGGCACCACAGTTTTGTCAATGTAGTTGGTCTGAATTGCTGCGGGGTTTCTCAAGATACGGAGTCTCTCCGGGACTTCCTTGAAGGTATACATATCGAGTGGGACGCACTTCTTCTTCAGGAGTTCAATGGTTGTGGGGATGGCTATGCAGGTAACATAGATGGGCGTACTATTGTTTCAGCTGCTGGGGGAGTTGACGTTCGGGGATGTGCAATCGTTCTCCATAGGAGGCACAAGACGGCCATGGAAAAACCAGTACCATCGCAAAATCCACGAGTGCAAGATTCGCATATATGTATTGGGCAGCGGCAGTTGTACCTTATCAGCGCGTACCTCCCGCAAGGCGGAGATCTGGATGAATGGAAGAAGCACCTCGGTGTGGTATACCGTACAATCCGGAAGCAGTGCAGGAGATCAGAGATGCTGATACTGTCCGCCGATGCCAACTGTGAGATGGGTGAACGCTTAGGCCCTGCTGAGCATGCTTATCTCGGTTGTTTTTCCCAAGGTCTTCGAAAGGACCGCGGCCAGGTCCTCGTCGAGGCGTATGTAAAGCAGCATTTTGCCGTTCTTAATACGTTTTTCCCGCTTGCTGGCGGTTCTACTTGCCATTCTTGGGGAGATCAAAATGGAAAGGGCACTCAAATCGATTTCGTGTTCACGCACGCCGATAAACTTGGACAGATCGATCGCGTTCGGAAGCGTCACGTTCTTGCGACCCGAACTGACCATCACATGATCCAGGTCCGCCTTCGGGCGGAGAGGCGGACCGCTTGGCATGAGCGTAAGCCGGTTGGGTGGACCTTGAAAGACCCCGTGCCTTTTTTCAAGCAGCTTTCGCAGCAGATCGATGAGCACGACACTCTTGGGGATATCTCTGCAATTCTGGGGGAGGTGGGTAAGCATGCAGGCGTGCTGCCTTCTAGGAAAAGCATGCGGCGGGCCAAGCGTACTACCTCGCACATCTTGGAAGGCGAGTGGCGGCAGGCGACTTCTAGACAAGCCAAACGAGCGGCTGCCGAAAAGGTTTTCCAGGAGCGCAAGCGCCTGCAAGCTGAAGATATCAATGAAAGGAGTTTGGAAGTCTTGGGGAATTTACGTCAGGGAGGCTGGGGTAAGAAGAAAAGAGCCGTCTCTTCGGGTAGCTCGTTCTTCACGTGCCCTCGCTCGAAGCAAAGCATCACCGAAACCAGCAGCCTGGAGAAGAGCATGGTGGATTTTTTTCAACGAGACGTTCCGGGACCCCGAAAACGAGCTCCTTCTTATTTGGATTTGGGGGAGTTTTCCACAAGCGGAACCTATTCCTACTAGCGCTGTTCATGAGGCCTTCATGCGAGTAAACAAGGGTGCGAGTTGTTCGGGCGACGGAGTTGTCGGGGAGATGCTTGGGGCCATCGCTAGTTTCCAAATGCAGCTGCCAGAACGGGTTCCTGTGGCCGCAGCCGCGCCTATTGGGGGGCCGGGCGGGTATGGGAGGTGCCATTTACTGCAGTTCGACGGAGCCAGGCGGGACGAGCAGCAGGTGGGGTGTGGTGGTGTCCTCTTCGACCCGGGGGGTAACCAGATCTTCGATTTTTAAGTGGCGCATGTTGGGGGGTAGCAATGCTGACGCTGAGTGGCGCGGCCTTCTGATAGGGCTGGAGTGCGCTTCGCAAGCAGGGGTTCAGTTTTTGGCGATCGAGGGGGACAATGACGCCGTTATTCAGCAGCTTTTGGGAGTCTGGCAGGTTTGGGATTTCAGGAGTTCTATTTACCGATCTCAGTGCTACGCAATTTTATCTACGTTCTTCTACGTCCAGGCTAAATCGGTTCCCAGGGCTAGGAATTATCTAGCGGACTCGTACGCGAATCTCGGCATCGACGAAGCGCTGCCGGTACCGATGCATGACTCACCTTTCAGCTTCCATTCGTGCGGGTACTGCCTGCAGGGAGGCCCGAACCTTGGCGACGCCGACGCACCGTTCGTAGACGGCGATGTCCGCGCCAGTTCTGGTTGCGACGATTTCCCCCATTTCTCCACGTGCTTGTGCATTGAGGGTGCGGACGTCACACATCCGCTGCATATCATTACAGAGTGCCTCAACAGGGATATCCGTGGGGATTGTCGCACAGTACATGCACGTCCTTCGAAACGACGTCGTCGGAGCGAGGGGGGAGGAGAGGGATCACAGAGGACGCATGATCGCACACGTGACCATGATGACGTACCAGCGTGTATTTTGGGCATGACGGGTTACCAAAGGGACATTAGCATTCTTACAAACATGGCCCTGCTACCTAAGGAAACCGTAGTGCATTGGTGGAACCAGCTCCGGCCAATCACGGTCCTTCCTGTTCTGTTGAAGGTGGTGGGTGGAGCTGTCTTCGACACTGTCTCGAACTTGCTGCAACCTCGCAACTTATGGCAGTTCGCTTATCGGGCGCGCCACTCCTGCGTAGACATGCTTTTCACAGTAATGATGCTTGGCCAACGTTCCGTGCAGGCTGACCAGAAGTTCACGATTGCTCCGTCTGATGTACCTAAAGCTTTCGATCGAATTCGTCACGCGTTCATCGTGGATACGTTAATGGAGAGGGGGGTACCGCGTAGTATCATAGCATGGTTTATACGTCACATTCGTAGTCTACGGCATTCGCTACACTATCAAGGGCTAGAGGGTATTACGGAACGCATTACTCGATCTATTCCCCAGGGAACCAAATGGGGCCCAGTACTGTTCGCAGTCTGCTTGGAGCGGTGCTTGAATCCTGTGTGGGAGCTCTGCCAAAGGTCCCGGCTTGGTGTACCTCTTAGAGATATTCGTCCGTGTGCGCAACATAAGCAGAAGTGGTGCGAGCACTGTTGTCCTTTATATGTACCCTTCGTGTGTTTCTCAGACAACTTGGTTATACTTGGCAACGGCTGGCAACAGGCAAAGGACATCCACGCTCTTGCTGAAAAGGCGTTGTCTTTGGCCGGCTGGGAGCTGCCAGCATCTCGCGTCCAGTGGCACACCACGGAGGAGTTGGGAGGGGACTCGGATAGGAAACCGTACAATCCATGGGAGGGGACGGAGAGATTCAGCAACGGGGCTTCGCCTAGGCTGGTGGGGGGGTACATGACGGCGAGGGGGTGCATGCAGCAGGACATTTGCAAGAAGTGTTATTCCGGTTCCAGTAATGTAGCTCAGGCAAGCAGTTTGTGGAAACCTCGATGTACTGGCAGGCTGCAGCGCATCGCACTCATCCACCGAGTTTGGACGTCATCCGCTTTGTGGACGGCCCCCTGCTGGACCTACAACCTGCGATCTCTTCAGAAAGTACGCGGGTGCGTCAACAAACATTATCGCGATGCCCTACGGC